TGACCCTTGTGGAACTCCACTTTTGACAGGTGCCCACTCTGAACAGTAGTCACCTACAGTAACTTTTTGACTACGGTCTCCAAGGAACATAATTGCCCGCATATTACATTTTGCCCCCTGCCTATATAAGTGCAATGATCTGAGAAGGATTCATCGAAAACTACGTATGCTCGCCAAATACTCTTCAAAAATTATATCTGTAAGTCTAACCTTGCTCCCCTCCCTCCAAGTTTGCGTCGTTTACCGAAGCTTTCCGTGTGAAGAGTGCAGTGGAATGACCCGAGGACGCCAATTTCAAGGCCATCCTGCAACGTGCGCGCACATCAGCACTTCCCCGAGGGTAAGCGAAAAGTGGGAGGGGAGGGGCAGTAGAAAGTCCCATAGCGGGGGCAAGCGAAAGGGTAAGGCGCGGAACAGTTGGCAAACCCTGCTGTGAAGGACATCCCGCATTGGACACGCAATAAGGCACTTGACCGCGAGTAACGGACGGCTGACGACCGACAGACGTAACATCCCTGGCGAAATGACACGCAGTATCGCACGTTCCCGTGAGTAATGGGTCGCTGATAGTGGAAAATTGCAACACTCATGGCGGCGCACGCACTGCAGTAGCCTTCGGGAGGGGGGAGGGAGGTTAAAGACAAGAAGGAACGGCCGCAGCAAGCAAGCGATTGAGTTAAAATTATTAAGTAAGTCTCCTTTGTGTGGCCATCTCTGCAGTAGGCGCGCGGAAGCCGGACAAAGGTGCCCCGATCCAACGTGTTCGTCGGGCTCAATGTTCGTCCCATCTGCAGCCAAAGGGGCAGTTATATTTTTGGATCACCAGAGCACCTATTGGGTATAAATTCAGTAGCAATGTCCAAATAATTATGTCAATAGATCAGGCAGCTTTACATCTTAGGTTCCTGCCATTTTTCCCTCTAATTTGCCACATTTTTTACATTTTGTTCCAGGAGGAACTTAAGACAGCTGGTGACGAGAAGGCAATCATCCTTGGCCTCAATATACGCCCAGCCTGCGCCATCGCCCGCCTTCGGATGGCTAGGGCACGTCGTTTGGGTCAAGAGTTGGCCGATCGAGTACGGCAAGCGGGTGCCGATAAGATTCTTGAGCAGATTGTCCATCATCCCGTCTACTCCCAGTCTTCCTCCATCCCGTCAGTGGACCCAAATACTCAGGTCCCACTCAGGGAAGCTCCTCTGCCTGATTCTGTAGTGATACCTACCAGCACGACGGTCTAAAACCATTTTCTCAGGCTCTTTTGGCTGACTTGCTTTCCTTCCCTCTCTAGTACTACTTTGACGATAGTTTTGTTCAATACCTCCTACCCATCCCCTCCTAGGCGTCTTCTCGACTGTTTCTGTATTACTCAGTTTGTCTAGAGACGATCTGCTATCAGGCGGTATTTTGTTGGAATTTGTCAACCCCGTATGCTTTTGTAACCTGCGTTTACATAGCTAAATAGACTTCTTACTGCACTGCTGTTCTCTTACTACCGCTCGCTTCCGTGTATTTCTTCAACTTTCTTCCACAATTTTTACATGGCATCTGACAGCCTGTCGCCGGCTCCAGCTTAATGTGGTAGGGGAAGAGGGGGTTGGATTCTACTGAGGGAAAAATTATATGCGTCCATCTCATTCTTACATCTACGGCATTTAATAACAAAGTCAGAAGGGCTGACTACGAATTTGGACGTAAGGGATGCTAGGGTCCGCTCCCCGTCTCTCGCTTACCACGCACCTACAGGTTGATCCCCCATCTGAAGCAATCCGGGGCCCAGCTATTCGGTTGAAGTTGTTATAAGGCCACGCTAAGAACTTGTCGTTGCTACCTGACTCTCATATCCTACTGTCGGGCTATCCTGCCAGTGAGCGGTATTCTACGACATAGTTATTAATGCCTTGCGGAGGAAATGCACTCGCGCTTTAATCAAACCATAGCGCATCGATGTTGCTCAGGATCGGCATAACTCTGGGGATGTCAGACCAGAGTCACCTGGGTCTGGACTAAGCGCTCACACTGCGGACAGGTAGAAGGGTGTGTGTTTAATGTCCACCGTATTTCGAAACACCGTGTCCACATTGGGTTTCCAATGGGGTCGACACGGATCTTAGGCATATGTAGGTATGAAGTCTGTTGGTGTTCCTTCCTGGCGCTCTTGCCATTCCTCTTTGAGGCTTGCGCTCGATGGGTTCTCTCAGGAAAACGGACCCGACTACTCTTCCAAAAAAAACTAAGTCGTTCTTACAACTGATTTCGAACAACTAGTCAACTCAGAAGTAGGAGATCCGATCGTTGGAACAAGACGTTTATTTGCGTGCCGTTTCTGATTCTGTTAAGAGCCCTTCTGAGTCGACCATAGAATAGGGTGATATATGCACAGATTACGCAGTATTTATAGTTTGTCGTGGCCCCGCGACCGCATGCGCATTATAATTATCAGTTCCATTAATCATTACTGGGGGTCGAAATTAGTGTGGTGATGGCTTCACAGTCCGCTTGAGAATCATTAATTGCCGTAATTTCGTCATCCGTGTTGGGTGTGGGCTTGATAATTACGCAACAATTATGTTCGCTGTCGTCAGAGTCGTTGCTGGGCCCGGCTCTTCACACGTGACTGATTCTCCTGCTCAGACAATGTCTTAGTACGGAGTATAGGAACGGCAAGTCGTTGATTGACTATGGGCTTGAGAACCATGACTCAGGCAGCTCACGCGTTTGTCACCTCTTGCGAGGGTTTCGGCCTCGTTAAATTTGAAAATATGGCCGGGTCCCGTCGATTGAACTGCAACCTGGGAGTTAGCGTCTTTCTCAACCCTGCTGCGTGCTCGGTTATTCGCGTCTGGAGTAAGCTCCCAAAACCTCCGACGTAGTCGCTTTGTCCACAACTGCACCAGGTCTGGTGAACCACTAACAGTTCGTACCTATAAGAAGGAGATGCGACAACTGGAAAAAGAGTTTTATTGTCCTGACCTTTCGGATTCCGTCCTTTCGTACGTAGCTAAAATACAGTTATAACAACTTCATAGCTGAATTGGGCAGAAAGTGTTTGGCGCCGCTCCAGTGCATTCCCTACCTTATGAAATGTCAACCGAAATTCTGAAATGCTTTTCAATCCGAACAACTTACTTAAGTAGTATTGTAATATTGATTATCGTACAGTCTAATCTCAAGATATTTCAGTCACATCAGGGTGCTGGCTTTTGGACGTGCCTTTCTGACGCTACTTAAGTAGCATGCACTTTTTTCCTTAATTTTGAATGTCTTTATAAATTCTGATATATTTTACAGAAAACATGCAGAAAAATATTCTTTCGTGTACTCCTTTGGTGGAAAATAACGCTTATTTAAATTTCCTTCTTGAAGAAACGTATATTTATATAGAAAAATATTTCTTATTATGAGAATTTTTACCACCGTGAAATATTTATTAATTATACACCGTGTCCCCCTGGTCATTAGTGTTGCCTATAAAGTATACAACACGATACACAATCTCTTTGGAAAACTGTGTGACGTCTTCCTCTTAAGGGAAATGTCTACTTTTCTCTGGACAGAATGTGTACAGCATGAAGTTTGGAAGCCGTGAATTCAAGTGTCACGCCCAGAAAGGTTCAAAATTTTTCGGCAATCTAGAAACTCTTAAAAACCGAAAGATACCCCTTCTTCACGTATAAATTTGAAGAAGACGTAACATCCTACCTAAAGGAGCACAAGCAAGAACATTTTTATGCATATTTTCTCTAAAATATATTTGGGTTTATAAGGGCAATGAAAATTAACAAGAAAAAGGTACACTAACTAGGTAGCTATCTAGTGTATGGTATACTTTTTACAGGCAGTCAAAAAGGTTCATTCAAATGTCGGCATCCTGGCATGACTGAAATATCTTGAAATGAGGACGTACAATAATTAATGTTACAACCCTACTTAAACATTTCTTTCGAATTGAAAGCACATTTCAGAGTTTCGATTGACGTTTAACGACATGGAATATCTACTGTAAATGGGGAAACTTCAAGTGGGTAAGGCCTACTGCGTTTGGGAGTCCTCCGAAAATGGGATTTCACTGTGGTAAGTATGACAACATAGTCGAATTCAACGCGGGCCTTTGCGAATCAGCGATGTCTACTCGTTGGGATTAGTGAACTGGGACATTTGCCCACCAGAGTCTCTTTTTGCTAACGACATGAGCGGAAAAATCCACGTTATAGATGCCATACAGGTTATAGTAGGCGCAGTGCCTTCGCAGCTGTTGCGTTCTTTCTGAATGTTGACGGGACTCCAGGCTATAAGCCTTTCTCGTGCATCCGGTTGAACTAAACTGTGGGTAGTCTCGAGTTTAACTTATTAAGAACGCAACGTCATGCCTCAATTACTGCTATCATGTACCAACTTAATTATTGCGCATGGGGTTAAACTTGCCTTCGACCTTACCTCAGAGGTTATTCTCCCTTTTTCACAGAATCTACCGGTTCTGTTTCATTTGCAGTCAGACGTCTTATTTGAGTCCATTTTCTGTTTCTAATCGAGTCAACTCGACAGTTGCTGCTCTGGTGGTCGGTGAAACGGCGACGTGCATGCTGACAGTGTTTGACCGGAGGCTTTCGTTGGGTTTGCGCCTCACCGACTGACTCAGGAGGCTTGTATCGCCTGTTGCAATAGCCACTTGTGAACTTGCTGCGACCTTTGCGCGTCGTGTATTTAGGTTTACCTGTATAGCCTATTGACTTTATTTAAGTAGATGATTATTTGTTTGTTTTTTATTTTATTAAGGTGCGTAATGAAGTCGAAGGGCAAACGGAAAGCCTTCTACCGACGGTGTGCTGCGGGCGAACAGCGGGCAAAGCAGCGTCGCATGGAAGCTGCTGGAGAGGTTGTAGATTCTCCTCTCGCTCCGCGTCGCTATATTGAACCCGGAATGACTGGCATACTGGTCACTTACAACAATAAAGAAGACAATCTAGCGCGCTCGGACGCTTATCGTCTTTTAAACGAGGCACATGAACGTTTAACGTGTACGTCTGATCAAGCACCTCCTAAAGACCTTAACGATACAGAAGTTCCTGTACCTCCGGCTTCTACGCATGGTCTAGGTGACGAAAATGATGCTGATAAGGATGTCGATGATGGTGATGATGACGATGTG